CCTGTGATACACTGTTCCTCTGTGTTGTAAACCACTGTCCTTATTTTAAAGCAGGCCGTATTTGTTTCCCAGACTGCCTTATTTTGTGTTTAGCAAAGAGTCAGTTTGTGGCTCAGCCTCTGGGTGGCAGTGTTCTGGGGTTGGCCTCTGAGGCTATACGGCATCTCTATCACACTTAAAAGTGATTTGGAGAGGTCAACTATCCAGAGCTGGTTCCTTAATAGTTACCCGCTCTGTGTTGTTGCTGGGATTCTCATTTTAAATTATATATATATATATATATATATATATATATATATATATATATATATATAGACACACACACACACACACACACACACACACACACACACACACATACACACACACATATATATTTTATTGATTTCAGAGAGGAAGTGGAGGGGGAGAAAAGTAAAAACATCAATAGGCTGCCTCCTGCATGCTCCCTACTGGGGACTGAGCCTGCCAACTCAGGCATGTGCCCTTGACTATAATCGAACCTGGGACCATTCAGCTCACAGGTAGATCCTGTATCCACTGAGCCAAACCAGCTAGGGCTCCAACACCCATTTTTGATAAAAACTCTAAGCAAGTGGGAATAGAGGTATCATACTTCAACATAATAAAGGCCATATATGAGAAACCTACAGCCAACATCATACACAATGGGTAAAAACTAAAACCATTTCCCCTAAGAACAATAACAAGACAGGATTGTCCTCTTTCACTACTCTTATTCAAGACTATAGGCCTGATGCATGAAATTCATGCAAGAGTAGGCCTTACTTCCCCCAGCTGCCAGCACTGGCTTCCCTCTGGCACCTGTGACCAGGGCTTCCCTCCTGCCGCTGGCAGGCACCTGGGACCCAGGCTTCCCTCGCAGCCCCAGCTTCATCCGGAAGGTCTTCCGGAAGGATGTCCAATCTAATTAGCATATTATGCTTTTATTATTATAGGTGGTACTGGAAGACTTAGCCATAGCAATCAGACAAGAAGAAAACATAGCCCTAGCTGGTTTGGCTCACTGGAAGAGTGGCTCTGGGTTTGATTCTGGTCAAGGGCACATGCCTCGGTTCTGGGCTGGAGCCCCAGTAGGGGGCATGTATGAAGCAGCCAATCAATGATTCTCCCTCATAATTGATGTTTCTTTCTCTCTCTCCCTCTCCCTTCCTCTATGAAATCAATAAAAATATATTTAAAAAATAAATAAGTTTACCAAAACAAAGAAGAAGAAAACATAAAAGGCATCCAAATTGGAATGGAGGAAGTAAAACTGTCATTATTCCCAGATGACATGATATTGTACATAAAAAACCCTAAAGACTCCTCCAAAATATTACTAGATTTAATAAATGAAGTCAGCAATGGATGAGGATTCAAAATTAACACCCAGAAATTGATCACATTTTTATACGCCAATAATGAACTCTGAAAAAGAGAAGCAAAAAAAAACCCCAAATCCCATTTACCATTGCAACAAAAACATTAAGATATTTAGGAATAAACCTAACCAAGGAGGTAAAAGACTTGTACTCTTAAAACTACAGAACTTTGAAAAAATAGATAGAAGAAGATATAAACAAATGGAGAATATACCTCATTCATGGATTGATAGAATTAACATTAGAAAAATGTCTGTACTACCCAAAGCAATATATAGAATCAACACTATCCCTATTAAAATATCAAGGACATATTTCACAGATCTAGAAAAAATATTCCCAGCATTTATATGGAACCAAAAAAGATCCCAAATAGCTGCAGCAATCTTGAGAAAGAAGATCAAAGGGGAAGTGATAACAATACCAGATATCAAGCTGTATTACAAAGTCACTATAACCAACACAGCCTGGTACTGGCACAAGAACAGGCATAGATATCAATGGAACAGAACAGAAACCACAGAAATTGATCCAAGCCATTATGCTCAATTAATATTTGACAAAGGAGGCAAGAGCATACAATGGAGGAAAGACAGTCTCTTCAATAAAAGGTGCTGAGAAAATTAGACAGGTACATGAGAAAAGAAAGAAAGAAAGAAAGAGAAAGAGAAAGAGAAAGAGAAAGAGAAAGAGAAAGAGAAGAAAAGAAAAGAAGAGAAGAGAAAAGAAGAGAAAAGAAAAGAAAAGAAAAGAAAAGAAAAGAAAAGAAAAGAAAAGAAAAGAAAAGAAAAGAAAAGAAAAGAAAAGAAAAGGAAAAAAAGTAAGAAAGAAACTAAACCACTGACTTACACCATACACAAGAATAAACTCGCCCTGACCGGTTTGGCTCAGAGGATAGAGCTTCGGCCTGCGGACTCAAGGGTCCCAGGTTCAATTCTGGTCAAGGGCATGTACCTTGGTTGCGGGCACATCCCCAGTAGGGAGTGTGCAAGGGGCAGCTGATAGATGTTTCTCTCTCATCGATGTTTCTAACTCTCTATCCCTCTCCCTTCCTCTCTGTAAAAAATCAATAAAATATATTTTTTTTAAAAAAGAATAAACTCAAAATGGTTAAAAGACTTAAATGTGAGTCATGAAAACATAAAAATCCTAGAAGAAACCACAGGCAGCAAAATCTCAGAGATCTCTTATAGCTACCGATGTTTACCGATACATTGTCTAGATGCGCAAGAAAAACAAAGGAAAAATAAGCACATGGGACTACATGAAACGAAAAAACTTCTGCATAGCAAAAGAAACCAGCATCAAAATGAAAATGGAATCCACTGTATGGGAGAATATATTTGCCAATGATGTATCTGATAAGGGGTTAATTTCCAAGATACATAAAGTATTGATACAGCTCAACAAAAGGAAGACAAACAATCCAATTTAAAAAATTGGCAAAGGACCTGAATAGACACTTCTCCAAAGAGGACATACAAATGGCCAACAGATATGAGAAAATGCTGAATGTCACTAATCATCAGAGAGATGTAAATTAAAACAACAATGAGGTACCACCTAGCACTTACCAGAATGTCTACCATCAATAAATCAACAAACAAGTGCTGGCGAGGATGTGGAGAAAAAGGAACCCTGATACACTGCTGGTGCGAATGCAAACTGGTAAAACCAGTATGGAAAACAGTGCGGAATTTCCTCAAAAAGTTAAAAATGGAACTTCCGTTTAAACCCAGTGAACTCACTTCTTGGAATATATCTTCAGAAACCTGAAACACCAGAAAGAATATATGCACCCCTATGTTCAGAGCAGCATTAATTACAATACCTAAGATCTTGAAACAGCCCAGTGCCCATCAGTAGATGAATGGATGAAACAGCTGTGGTATAATTACACAATGGAATACTATGCAGCTGTAAAAAAGAAGGATCTTTTATACTTTGATATAACATAGAGAGACTTGGAGAGTATTGTGCTAAGCAAAATAAGCCAAAGACAAATATCTCATAATCTCACTTATATGTGGAATCTAATGAAAAAAGAAAATTGATAAGCAAAATAGTTCCAGAGACAATGGAAGCATGCAACAGAATAATGATTCTCAGAAAGAAAGGGGGACTAGAAGAGATTAACCAAAGAACTTATATGCATATATGCAAAATCCATGGACTCAGACAATAGTGTGGTGAAGACCTGGAGTGGGGTAGGGAGTGGAGAAGATGGGGTCACTGGGCATGGGAAGGGAGACATGTCATACTTTCAACAAAAAAATATAAAATTTAATAACTCTATATGAATTAATTGCCATAAAATTTCCCTTATGTATTTTATTATTTAAAATTTTTAAATCATATATGCCTACTATAAAATATCGATTTTTCAAATGTTATGAATCGTTTTTAAATATTGAGTTTTCAATTTTTGCCTAAGTTTAAGGGCCACATTTATACAAAGGGGAAGTAGTCAATTACTCCAATTAACAATCTTCTCCTCTGCCAAACCATGCGCCCTACACAAGTAACAATTTTAATGTGATTTGAGATAAACTATAAAGTAAAAATAAAATATTATGATTTTTTAGAAACATACAAGTATAATATTCTACCAATTCCTGAAACTTTGAGATTTTCTTTCAAGTCTACCACTAGAATGCAATGTTTAATATGTTTGATCCTGATTTCCTCTAAAGAACTGCAGTCAGCCATTTGGTTCATTTAAGAGCAAATATTAATACTGGATTAATGATACATTTCTGACATTTTTTGTGCCTTATATTGCAATATAACATTTAATAAAATTATAGCAAATATAATTCTCCCTCAGGGAACTTGGGAACCATACATTCACCAATAACTGTTCAACAAAAGAATTTTTGTTTTCTCAACAATAAGTGATATTGTTAAGAAGATACTTCCAAAAGCCTAGACATGCAGTGATTTTAAATACTGAGAATTATCAAACAGTATTAAGCATGCATACAACTTATGGTCTCAACACCAGTATTGTTATGAGGATCTGTTTTCTAAAGCTGATGGAAAGAGAGTTAGTAACTTAAGCAGTACATAAGGTATCATTCTCCATCTTCTCCCACAGCATGTAAATATATGGCAAGATACTTTTCTATTGTGAACTTAAACAGTAATTAAGCATTTTATTATATTTTAATCTCAAGTATATATTGTTGCTATTGTTAAATCTCTAGATGCACAAATATACACATAATGTATAGTTTTAATCAATAATGATGCTTTAAGTAAAAATGAATTTTTTGCTTGAATAGATATTTCTCTTTTGGAAATTAACAGATGAAATAAATTTAGAAATAAAATATGCTAACTATTGAATTTTTAAAATTGAAAGATTTCAAAAAATATACACAAAATTAATAAATTTGATATTACCAGTCTTAGTTTTGTATAGATCAAATAGCATTTCAAGGAAAATTGGTTTACTTTATTAGTTGTTCTATTTTATCTGGTAATGCTTATAAATTTATAGCAATGTAAATACAAAAAAATTCTCAAAATTGTTCATGTTGAAGAAAATTATTTATTTCCATTAAGATTGGATATAGTTAACTGTAATAAAATTACATTAAAACAATAACTTACATGAAGTCACCAGCAGTAGGGAAAGGATTTTGAATGTTCACAGTGATTTCTTTCCATGTATAACATGGGCTTTTGCATTTTATCATTTTCTAAAGTAAAAAATAAATAAATAAATAAATAAAGACATATTAAATGGTAAGAACAAAAAAAGATAACCTGAATCATAAAATAAAAGCTTAAAGCATCTAAAAACCTGTTCATTCAAATATAACAATGATATTAATTTATCTAAGTCCCTTTGTCCCAGAAACACTGCACTGAAAAAAAATTTGAGTGGGAAGAAATAAAAATATATTTCATATTTTACCTCATCACTGATCAATAGTACTTTTGCTATAACTGAACTGTCATAATATTATCTCCCAAATGTATTTCCTTAAAATATTTTTATTAATGACTGAGCATTTTCAAATTAATTATATTAATTTGAAAATTAATTAATTATACATACCTAATAACATGACATAAAGAAGAGGCATGTGTGTTTGTATGCACACAGGTGTGTGAGTGTATGAATACCTATCTGTGTATGTGTGTGAGTGCGATATGCCTGTGTTTATAAGATGGTGGCTTACACTGACATATTTTTAACATAATAAAAGTACAAACATAAAATTTATAATGCAAATTACCCAATGGCTTTCCATAGAGGAAAAGATTCTAGTAATTCTACATTTTCATACTGATGGTGTTCTTACCTTCTTTTATTTCTCCATTATTACCCGCTCTACCTCCTGGTAACTAAGACCATGAGTATTCAGATGGAGCAGTAAACCGAGACCACATGAGTTTCAAGTGTCAGCGTTTCTGCCCTGTAGCCATGTTAATGACAGGCTAAAACCATCCATGTCTCTTAGATACATGTGGCATAGCAACGTTTTGTTTCAGAAAATTTGTGTGAAAGGACTGGGAAGTGTAAGAGTTCATTATTCAGGAGAAAATCAGATGATCATAATACATATCTCAGTGACATCAAATGCCTGCTTCCTACTCTAGGTGTCATTATCTAATAAGCCAGTCTGTCCATGTGAACATCTTAATGCTCTCCTTACAAAACTGACCATCATTAGAGTCCTTCTACTTACTTCCTACTCATGCCACTGCACACCTAAAATTCTTTATACTCCATATGGAAATATGGCACAATAACAAATTTACTTCTTCTTTACCATATGTCCATGGTAGGACATAATATTTAACCAGAATACTGACTATAAAAAGTCAATCATAGCAATGTCACATTTATGTTACAGAAAATTTAAAAATCCTTCTCCCTCTGGAACATCATCACTTCTCAATAAACCCCAGCCTTAGCATTATCTTTATAATGCCTTTGATACACAGGACACTCAAGAGAAATTAAAGAATGTTCTTTGCTGTGTTCACTGCTCGCACCAACCCTTAATTCAAATAAAAGCAGACACAGGCCCAGGAAAAAGAGCTATGCTTGGGATGCCCAATGGCATGAGAAGAGAAGCAAAGACATACAAAATAGGTAAAATTTACTTACCGTGGAATTAAATTTGCGGACTTCACCCTTAAGAGCAAAAATCATTGTAGTGCCTCCCACTACCATATTAGGTGCTGAAATTAGTATCAGTGAAGCTTTGGCAGGATGGAGGAAGCGACTGCTGAATTTCACAGTAATATGGATTGTGTCTCTATTTAATAAAAGATAAAAGAAAAATATTTTATTGAAAAAAGACAACTAACAACCTCTGCAATGCAATATAATCATTTATAGAATAAAATTCAAGACTGTTGCAGATCTCAGGAAGTCTATAATCTAGTTATTGTTATCAGTTAAAACATCTTGATCCATCCTTGTGTCCTCTTTGGAGAAGTGTCTATTCAGGTCCTCTGCACATATTTTTCATCAGATTATTTGCTCTTTTTGGTGTTGAGTTGTATGAGTTCCTTATATATCCTATATAATAAAAGGCTAATATGCAAATAGACCAAACAGCGGGACAACCAAACAACCGAACAACTGGTCGCTACGACATGCGCTGACCACCAGGGGGCATGTGCAGAACATGGCGGGCATCAGCAGCAGGCGGTAGAGCACAGAACATGGCAGGCATCGGCCGTGGCAGGATGGTGGAGCAGGTGAGCAGGGGCGCCAGACCAAGGAGAGGTGCCAGTCACTGTCATCTGGGCAAGCCTCTGGTGGTTACTGAAAATTCTCTGCTCCCACATGCTGTGGTCCCACCCAACACTTGCACCTGCTGCCAGCACCAGCCCCGCTTGCGCCTGGTGCCGGTGCCGGAACCGCCACTCACACCTGCTGCCTACACCCAAAACCAGCCCTGATCGCTCGGTGCCATCAGTGGGTGCAAGCGATGGCTTCCATCCCCAATCACCCCTCAGGGCTTCTCCATCTCCCCCAGCTCCTGAGGGGTGATCGGAGCTGGCAGCCACCGCTCGTACCCACTGCCAGCACCGGAGCAGCCACTCGCACCCATTGCCAGTGCCAACCCAACTCATACCTGCAGCTGGAGCCACTGCTCGCACCCACTGCCGGCGCTTGGCACCACTTCCAATCGCTCAGCACCATCAGTGGGTGCAAGCAGTGGCTGCTGGCCCCTATTGCCCCTGAGGGCTCCCCCACCTCTCCCTGCTCCTGAGGGGCAATCGGGGCAGCAGTTACCACTAGCACTTGCTGATGATGCTGAACCTGCTTGCATGCTGCTGGTGCTGGCCCCAATTGCTCCGCACCATCAGCAGTTGCAAACGGGGTTGGTGCTGTCAGCATGTGGGAGTGGTGGAGGCAGAAGCAGGGCTTCTGGCAGACAGGGGACTGGAGGCCATGGAGGGAGGGGCCAAGTGGGGGCATGGAGGATGGTCCGAGACCTGCCCCAGTGCCCACCACGTCCTCACAGCCCACAGTTCCTTTCAAGGTGCATGAATTCGTGCACTGGGCTCCTAGATTTTATATAAATCCCTTATCAACAGACATGAAAAGATGCTCAACATAATTAAGCATCAGGGAAACGCAAATTAAAACCACAGTGAGATATCACCTCATACTTTTCAGAATGGGTATCATCAATAAATCAACAAATAAAAGCATTAGTGAGGATTTAGAGAAAAGGGAACACTCATCCACTATTGCTAGGATTGCAAATTGTTTTAGCCACTATGGAAAACATTATGTAGGTTCCTCAAAAAATTAAAAATAGAGCTACCAAATGACCCAGAAATTCCACTTCTGGTTATTTAACTGAAGAAATCCAAAACACTAATTTAAAAAGATATATGCCCCCCCATGTTCATTGCAGCATTAACTATAGCCAATATATAAAATCAATCTAAGTGTCCATAGATAGTTGAATAGATAAAAAGGAGTTGGTTCACACACACACACACACACACACACACACACACATACATACCCAATGGAATATTACTAAGCCATAAAAAAGAATGAACTCTTGCCATTTGAGACAACATGGATGGATGTGGGAGATATTATGCTAAATGAAGTTTTTCAGAGAAAGCTAAATGCCATACAATTTCACTTATATGTGGAATCTGAAAAACAAACAAACAAAAACCAAAATAGGAACAAAATCATAGATACAAAGAACAAATTGATAGTCACCAGATAGGAGGGGGATTGGAGGACTGGGTAAAAAAGGTGAAAGGGATTAAGTACAAATTGCCAGTTACAAAAACAGTCATGGGGATATAAAGTACAGCATAGAGAATAAAGTCAATAATATTGTAATAACTATGTATGATTTAAGATGAGTACTAGACTTATTGGGTGATCACTTTGCAACTTATATAAATGTCTAACCACTATCTTGTATTCCTGAAACTAACATAACATTGTATGTCAACTGAAATTGGAAAATAAATAAATTAAAAAAGAAAACATCTTGATCCAGTCTGTCAAATCTAAAGTTAACTTCAAAATATAAGTAAAATCTACCAAATATTAAATTTTCTAACAGCTAGCCAAAGAAAAATATACATTTTTGGGTGAATTTCATAGGACATTCTGTGCTACTGTTTAAGCAAAAATTTAGTCATGTCACTGGTTTTTAGTCACATGGAGAGAAAAATGAGAAAGACTAAGAATTAAAAAAAAATAATTAAAACTGTGGTTGAAAATAAAATTAAAATCTCAAAAGAAACTAATGATATATAAGTAGCATGGCTTTTATTTGTAAGATATATGTAATTAAAAGAGCAAAGAAAACATGTCCATTTCCCTTAATCTTCAACTTCCTAATCTAAAACATAGTAAAAAGTTAGAGTCTGTAGCCTTGGAGATTTCACTTCCTATACCCTATAGGGTAATGACTGAGCCATGGCATCCTGACAACCCTGCATGATAACACAAAGGCCACATGTTGTGTCTTGGCAGAAAGTTCTACGATCTTCTCATAACGTAAGAGCATGGAAACTCATGAAATGCTGCTCACTTGCCTCCCAATCTCTCCTGAGGTCTGAGGCTTGCTACCTAGCCCCTTCAGGGTAGAGTTACAGGCTATAAAAGTACTTAGTTGCAGCATGAAACTGACTGTCAGCACAGGGTGTTTTACTGGTGCATGATGCTGTCATCTGGACCCTTTGTTTTTTGTATTATTATTTTTTTAAATTTTTTACTAGAGGTCCAGTGCACGAAATTCATGCATTGGTGGGGTTCCTAGGCCTGGCCAGCAATCAGGGCCGATCAGGTTCCCCACCTCCCCACCTCGCCACCTCATCCTTCCCTTGTTGCCCGCGCGCCACCACCATGTGGTTCCCCGCCTCCCTGTTTCCTCCTTCCCTCGCTGCCCACGCCCACGCACAGCCACCACACGGTTCCCTGCCTACCCACCTCCCCCCCCCCCCCTCCTTCCTTTGCCACCCGCATCCACCACCACCCACCCCTGGTTCGCTGTCGCAGCCCGGGTCCAGCCCTGATCGGTGATAGAGACCCGCCAGCTGGGGGGAGGGACTGGGAGGTTGGCCAGCAGGTCCCAATTGAGGCAGGTGAAGGGCAGGCTGATCAGGGCCTGTTGGCTCAGGAGAGGGATGTGGGGAGGGACCTGGGAAGTTGGCTAGCAGGCCCTATCAGCAATCAGGGCCTGCAGGCTGGGGCCAGCTCCTGCATTAAACTGGATCTATTTTTGTTCATTAGTTCATATTTGTTAAGCGTCTTCCCTGGTGGTCAATGTGCATCATAGCAACTGCTCATTCCGGTCATTCCGGTTATTCTGTTGTAATGGTCACTTACGCTTTTATATATATAGATTACAGTAAAAATATATATCATAAAAAGAAAACAACAATAATATATAACAGAAAAATTATCACCATAATAATTTTTAATTGTTCACTACAATACTATTAACTATATGCACATTGTTGTATGACAGATGCCTAGAACTTCATCTTCTTACAAGACTAAAACTCTATACCTATTAAGAAATAACTCCCATTTCCTCCCCCATCCTACCCTTCCCCTGGCAACCATAATTGTACTTTCTGTTTCTATGAATCTGAGTGCTTTAAATACCTCTTTTAGCAAAATCATGCAGTATTTTGTTTTTGTGACTGGCTTATTTCATGTAGCATAATGTCCTCAAGTTTCATTCATGTTCTAGCCTGTGGCAGGATTCCCTTCCTTTTTAAGGTGGAATAATATTTATTTTTAAAAAAAATCTTTATTGTTGAAATTATTACATATGTCTATTCCCCTCTCCCCCACTGACCCCATCTAGTGCGCCCCCGCCTCCCACCCCAGGCCTTCACCACACTATTGTCTGTGTCCATGGGTTATGCATATATATATGCATACAATTTCTTTGGTTGATCTCTTTCCACCCACCCACCCCCACCTTCCCTCTGAGATTTACAGTCTGTTCCATGCTTCATGTCTCTGGATCTATTTTTGTTCATTAGTTTATATTTGTTCATTAGATTCCACATATGAATGAGATCATGTGATACTTGTCTTTCTCTGTCTGGCTTATTTCACTTAGCATAATACTCTACAGGTCTCTCCATGCTGTCTCAAAGGGTAAAATATCTCTTTTTATCACTGCATAGTATTCCATGGTGTAGATATACCACAGCTTTTTTATCTACTCATCTACTGATGGGCACTTGGGCTGTTTCCAGATCTTAGCTATTGTAAATTGTGCTGCTATGAACATAGAGTGCATATATTCTTTCTGATTGGTATTTCAGGTTTCTTAGGATATATTCCTAGAAGTGAGATCACTAGGTCAAATGGCAGCTCCATTTTTAATTTTCTGAGGAAACTCCAAACTGTTTTCCATAGTGGTTGTATCAGTCTGCATTCCCAACAACAGTGTATGAGGGTTCTTTCTCCACATCCTTGCCAGCACCTGTTTGTAGATTTATTGATGGCAGCCATTCTGACAGGTGGAAGGTGATATCTAATTGTCATTTCATTTTAATTTGAATCTCTCTCATGATTAGTGACATTGAGCATTTAATTTGCATATCTCGGAGTCGGAGGGAGACCGCGTGGCAGACAGCCGCGTCCCTTGGGACAGGCACAGCCCCTGACGGGGGAAAGGAGAACCGCGGGATTCCTGGCGCCGCCGGGGGAATTGCGAGCTGGGTTCTGTGATCACGGAGGACTGAGCCTAAAGGGGGCAGCCTGAAGAGCTGATCAGACCATGCAGTCCCGGTAAGA